ATATACATATGTATATATTATATTGTATAGACATATATATATATATATAGATATATATACGGCTCTCTCTCACATATTAATTACATCCACCCAATGACTACCCCTCACTTCATACCATTCTCTCGATACAGAAACAACGTGTGGTGAAAGGCCGGTCAGCTGTGCTGAAGAAAATCAATACTAGGGGGAATGAAGTCTCTGGGGTCGTACTTTAGCAAATAAGCCAAACAATGTAAACTGTCATATCACATTAAAAAAATTAGCAGAACGGTTAAACGACGTCAAGCCGAATTAGACGCACTTTCCACCGTACCAGTGCGTTCAACGTTTTCTGCATGACCACGTTGATAGCACGATTACTTACGCCTGCGCAGAAGTAGATGCCTAGATGGGCAGTGACTACTACCTGTAGTACAATTGTGCGCTCGGGTAGTCGCCTATAGTAGAAGAACAGGGTGGTTCAAGGGCTATGGGGACTTTCTTCAGCAAATAAGCAATAGACACCGAAACGTCACTTTAAAATAATTCTCAATGACGTCGAATGGAGTGAACCTTCCACCGTAGCCTCAGTATGATTTACGTTTTCTGTACGATGACGTCGAGATTACGGATATGCCTACGCAGAAGTAGTTGAGAAATGATAACTACTCGTAACAAAGTTGTGCACTTGGATAATCGCCTATGGCAGACGCGACAGAGTGGCATATTAATTAGCCACTCCCACGCTCACAAAATCAGCAGATGCTCTTGGCCGAATCTGTCGAGCCATTGCAGTGGGGAGAGCGGTTGCTTCAGTGAGCTGTACACATAATCCATCGCCAAACGGACCTCCGTGTCGCTGAGTCGTGTACAATGCCACAGATCATACTTTGTGAGTGCGCGAGTGTACGCATGCAAAACACTGGGCGGGCAACCAATGACATATCGGTTGGGAGGCAGCAGCGTAGCAACCAGCACAACCACCCCCGACGGATGCAGCCGCCTGCCTCCCAGAGTGGCGTTGCCATAGCAACCACCGGTGTCTCCACATCCACACTCGTCCGCTTGTGTGGCACATCCATCCTGCTGCGCAGTGTGCACATACTGGTGTGGCGCCCGTGCACCTGGGCTTCCTTTGTTGCGTCTCCCATGCGTACACGCTTTGATCTCCTTGGACTTTGCACTACTCCTGCGCGCCCTGCCACAGTCGTACGAGCCCATCGTTTTCACCGATGTGAATCCATCCGCAGGCAAGGTGTGCATACGTGTGTGTGGGTGTACGTTCATATGTCTCGTCTGTTGATGGTACGCATCTGCAATAGCCAGGCAGCCTGACTTGACCTCCACTATACCTACCACCAACCCGTGCGCATCCAGTGCCACAATGTCGGCCTCTCCACTGCCCTTCTCGTGGCGCAGCAGCTGTTCATTGTGTCGTGTGTACGCGTCCGTGTCTACGGGGCTTAGAGTTGTAGTGTTTTGCAAGCCCTCTATCCCAGCCGTGCGCAAGTGTTCGCCAGGTTGACCACCTAGCCTCGACTTGCTATGGTAGCTAGTTCGATACAAACCTCTATACTCCCGTGCGCCCGTAGAAACTTCGGTATCACTCATATACGGGACCTTCTTCCCGGTTACTGTCTGGGTCTCTGGGCTTGTGTGTGTTGTGCACAGCACTTGCTCCTCGTCTGCTGAGTGGACCTCTGCGCGAGAGTATGGCACTGGCGGCTTCCTTCTGCTCCATACCTGGTTAGTAATAATCGTGTACTCTGACGTATCCCGAGGAACCTTAAAAACCCTACCATCCCTGGCGCGCAGAATGGCCAGTAGGTAACGCGAGGCTTCTTGATGCGCCTCCTGCTCGAACAGCTCGCCCCGGAATTTGTACCGCTCCCCATTCTGGTACCTCCCATTGACCGCCTGCCACATGCTTAAAACCTTCTCGTGTTTGCCATAGACTTCGCATTGGTCCCGTTGCCGCTTGGCCCGTGCGGTGCTCCGCGCGACAGTATCGATCGCGCGCGTGATATGCGCAAGCTGCCGTTCAAGCTGTCCACCGGCACCCCCCACATCAGCCTCAGTGTATTGGGGCGTAGTTGGTGTCTTGGTTGTCCTGCCAGTGTATCGTTCTCCTTTGTCCCCCGTCTCTGCCGTTGATACTGGTGCTGGTGAACGCCTACACCCACTCGTACTCGTTGGCGTCGTCGGCGTGTTGCGCATGTGTGCAGGGGCACTCGTACTACCTTGCCCACTCTCTGCTATGTACTGCGCTGTGGTACAGTATGGTTGGGATGTTCTGTACTTCTGTGTTGCTTCTCTCTTGCTGTGTAGCTTCGCCTGCAGTTTGGCCAGCTTCTCGCGCAGCGCCTTGAGTTTCATGTTTAGTACATTCCACTGCTGAAACGCCTGGCCCCGGTCCAGCTACAATTACGTACACAGTTGCAGTGCAGTTGCAATGTCAGTGATGTGCAAGTCAACCACCCACCACGTCTCTGAGTTGTCTACTGTTAAGAGTCTGATTTGTACTTTACAGGCTATGCTTTCTCTCGCACCCCAGCGTCCACAGGCCGAGAAATAGACAACAACGATAAACCCTATACCCTATATCCAACACCTGTCGGTCGCCAAAGGTTAGCAATGCGTGTGAACAAATAAAGATACTTATACTCTAACCTTCAAAGCTCTGGGAACTAACTCAGAACCTTCTAACGCTCGCAAATTGTCTAGAAAATACCACACAGGACTAGACACTTCATCACTCTAACCACGATGTGTGTTCCGATCGGTGCTCACCTGTTTAATCGTCGAGTGGATCATCCTTCCGTCACTCTCTGGTGGCAGCCCCAGTTCACTGCAGATGTCTTCCATGCCAACACTTGTGAATTTGGTGCGGTCTTTGATATTGACCCGCACGTGGTCTATGAAAGCCCTACAGGAAATAAGATACACATGGCCCTTACAGGTCATACAATAGTCTTAGGGTTTAGGGCTTCAGAATTTAGGGCTTTAGGTTTTGGTCCCCACAGATGCACAGAAAGTAGCTGAGATAAGTAGCTGAGATTGTTGACAAGGCCTTATTCAGCGTCATATAGTGGTGTCTGTCTGCAAATTTAGAGACCAACTGTGACTATAGGATAGTTCTATATCCAGTCGTCCACCGCAGTAGTACACAATTGGAATATGTCGCATGAACAAAGTTGTAGCTCATAGACAACTACGCTTGTTTCAACTGTATACCTGACTGTCGAACTGATAGCAGAGCAGTATAGGTGAGGCCTCGCTCCAAAATTCTATTTATAGACAAAGAAAAAGACAAACATTCTATTTATAGACACATAGCAAAAGACATACATTCGGTTTATAGACATACAGCAGAAGACTTGCATTCTATATATAGATACATAGCAGAAGACATACATTCTATCTATAGACACACCGCAGAAGATGTCGAATCAAAGTTGTGCATTTCACTGGACAAGGCTATCTATGCGCATTGATAGCAAGCAATCGCCAGACCGCCCCATACCTCACTCACAACCATAGGGTTTACTAATACCTGCAATACATGCTATATACAATACATGCTACATATTAAACTATAATAACATTAAACTGAACTCACCTGGCTGTCTCCAGATCAGCGTTAGTTCGCCATTGGTAGACAGGATCAGTGGGATAGCTAAGCAGCAGCCGACGCAAATGGCTCCGCCGGTGCGGTTGCATTGCCAGTTGAATTCGTGACACTGGCGAATCATAAATACTGATAATCGTCGTTTGGATATATATACAGATAGTGATTACGCACGTTGATATATACATGTGAGTCTGGGCTATACACTGTAAAGCCCACTTGCTCCACGCGGCAATGAGCCCTCGCACGTGGTTATATTTTTTTAGGGTTCTGGTATGAATCAGCATCACTCTAAACACCACAGCGGTCCTTTCAGTGAAACGCTTTGCATACTCCCACATGTACGAGCACGAGCCTCCCCATAAGGTCTCGAGATCACCAATTGGTGTAGTAGTTTGTGCAAACGTTTGGTTCCTGTCTACCTCGTCTGACAGTTCCGAGCTTGCGGGTACTGACTGTGTGGGTATCGTGTGCGTGGGGTCGTACCGGAAGGGTTTCCATGGTAACAGCATAGAGTATATAGAGTACATACACGTATATAACTCTAATTGGAATAAACCAAGATTACGCCAGCATACACGTGCGGATTTCAGGCACCATTGTGCGTAGTGGATTGGAAGTCGCAGGGCGTCGCAAACACAGAAGTGGTTATAGCTCGACACGTAGATGTAGCGATTGCACCACACTTCTACTATATCACATACAGACAGCGAGATAACAACCGGCCATATAATAAGCTCGATAAGAGTACATGTGATTCTATTCATGATATATGCTTTATAGCCTCTATCTGTACATAAGACTGCGCGGTCACACCAACACTAACATATTTAAATCATGCGTACCTGCCTGTTCGTAAAATGTGCTACATTCATGTATTAGTATATGAATAGCAATAGTGAATTCTTTTGCTCTATTGTGTGTCGATACACTCGTGTCATTCTGCTATGCGTAAGCATCAGGACATTGTTATAGCTTTGCCATATATATATATATATATAGTCTATGACTCTATAGTTGCATTCAGGCACTGTGGTACATAGTAGTACGACTTTTTTGTACATATGTTCTATTTCGAGGAGAAAGGCCGCCAAAACAATTAGGTCGATAGCGAATAGAAATACCGGAAAATCTTGTTGCGCGAACGGGTTTATTATGAAAATAGATACGGAGCGATAAACAAATCTATTGCGTCACACAGTCATATAGATAGTTATATGTAGCTATATACCTATATATAGTCACTAGTCTATGAACACAGACGTATGTGTATTGGTCTCTGAGCACATAACATACCTCGTAGACACACTTAGTATCATTTCGTAAGCGTCTATAGATTCAAAAGATTGCATACTGCAAATCAACAAACATTCCTCAGTATGTACACAAACGGAGGAAAACCGCCTATGCCTGGGTCCAGACCCCCTCCAAGACCGGCGCCAAAGCCCGGATCTCAGACAAATGGGGGGCCACCTCCTATATCACCCAAGCCTGGGTCTAGAGCTACACCCCCTATTCCAGGGAATAAACCTGCTGGTATATGTGGTGATTGTAGGCTACCGGACTGTGTCGTTTTCAATATGAATAAATAGCATTGCAGTGTATTCGGAGAGCCAAAATATTTTTTTCAGACTGCGAAGATATATGCATATGTATGTAAATACATCCACACACACACACACATACACACACAAAGGCACACATCCACACACACACACACACACACACACACACA